GCTTATAACGGCTTCTGACTTTCCTATTATACCTGCTTATAAAAAACCCTTAAATTCCTTTTCAATCCTGCTTATAATGATTTGTTCCACGCTTCTCAAACTAATTTATCTATCAACATCTTATTAATATCACTGACATACAAAATACCATGAAAAAATATGTAACACATGTACACACACAGAAAACCGAACAGTTATAATCTAAAATGGTTGTTCTTCTCTCCAAGGCGTCACACCTACTCCTCCTCGTCCCCCCAACACCACTTTCTCGTAATGGTCCTTGGTCAAACAGTGTTGATTACCGGTTAAGCATTCCCAGTGGCAGCTTGTGGCACATTTACCTTGTATTACGAGCTCTCGAGGCTCCCAAGAGGTCTCTCTCTCTCTCTCTCTCTCTTTTCTCTCTCTCCAGTTGAGACGGCGCCGTCTCAACTGGAGAGAGAGAGAGAGAGAGAGAGAGAGAGAGAGACCTCTTGGGAGCCTCGAGAGCTCGTAATACAAGGTAAATGTGCCACAAGCTGCCATGGGAATGCTTAACCGGTAATCGACACTGTTTGACCAAAGACCATTACGAGAAAGTGGTGTTGGGGGGACGACGAGAGGAGAGGAGAAAAGCCGTTTGAGGCTGTAATTGTTCGATCATGTGTTTTGGCTCACTATGAGGTGGGCCAAAACAACATCGGTTCGAGTCCTTGGCTAGTCGCAGTGTTGTTATTGATCAATACCACTCGTGCGTGGTTACAATATTATAAAAACACTGCTTGTTAGGCTAGTACACCAAACGGGGATTAGAATACAATTTGTTCAGAGGCACCCACACCACTGTATGTTCTCGTACCAAGGTAACACACCTAGCTTGGCTTGGTGCTTGGTTCTTGAGTCCTTTGAGTCAGAGCGTCATGTATTTACGCTCACCATTAGGCGGGCCGAAACAACGTTTATACGTTTAAAGATATATATATATATATTATATATATATATATATATATATATATATATATAAAATATATTATATATATATATAATATATATATATATATATATATATTATATATATAATATATATATATATATATATATATGGGGAAGTGGAAAAGAATCTTTCCTCCGTAAGCCATGCGTGTAGTATGAGGCGACTAAAATGCCGGGAGCAATGGGCTAGTAACCCCTTATCCTGTAGAAATTTACTAAAAAAGAGAAGAAGAAAAACTTTATAAAACTGGTATGCTTAATTGTGCGTGGATGTAGTGTGGATGACAAGAGACAGATGATTGCTGATGTTATGAATGAAAAGAAGTTGGATGTCCTCGCCCTAAGTGAAACATAGCTGAAGGGGGTAGGGGAGTTTCGGTGGGGGGAAATAAATGGAATTAAATCTGGAGTATCTGAGAGAGTTAGAGCAAAGGAAGGGGTAGCAGTAATGTTGAAGGATCAGTTATGGAAGGAGAAAAGAGAATATGAATGTGTAAATTCAAGAATTATGTGGATTAAAGTAAAGGTAGGATGCGAAAAGTGGGTCATAATAAGCGTGCATGCACCTGGAGAAGAGAGGAATGTAGAAGAGAGAGAGAGAGATTTTGGGAGATGTTAAGTGAATGTATAGGAGCCTTTGAACCAAGTGAGAGAGTAATTGTGGTAGGGGACCTGAATGCTAAAGTAGGAGAAACTTTTAGAGAGGGTGTGGTAGGTAAGTTTGGGGTGCCAGGTGTAAATGATAATGGAAGCCCTTTGATTGAACTTTGTATAGAAAGGGGCTTAGTTATAGGTAATACATATTTTAAGAAAAAGAGGATAAATAAATATACAAGATATGATGTAGGGCGAAATGACAGCAGTTTGATGGATTATGTATTGGTAGATAAAAGACTGTTGAGTAGACTTCAGGATGTACATGTTTATAGAGGGGCCACAGATATATCAGATCACTTTCTAGTTGTAGCTACACTGAGAGCAAAAGGTAGATGGGATACAAGGAGAATAGAAGCATCAGGGAAGAGAGAGGTGAAGGTTTATAAACTAAAAGAGGAGGCAGTTAGGGTAAGATATAAACAGCTATTGGAGGATAGATGGGCTAATGAGAGCATAGGCAATGGGGTCGAAGAGGTATGGGGTAGGTTTAAAAATATAGTGTTAGAGTGTTCAGCAGAAGTTTGTGGTTACAGGAAGGTGGGTGCGGGAGGGAAGAGGAGCGATTGGTGGAATGATGATGTAAAGAGAGTAGTAAGGGAGAAAAAGTTAGCATATGAGAAGTTTTTACAAAGTAGAAGTGATGCAAGGAGGGAAGAGTATACTGAGAAAAAGAGAGAGGTTAAGAGAGTGGTGAAGCAATGTAAAAAGAGAGCAAATGAGAGAGTGGTTGAGATGTTATCAACAAATTTTGTTGAAAATAAGAAAAAGTTCTGGAGTGAGATTAACAAGTTAAGGAAGCCTAGAGAACAAATGGATTTGTCAGTTAAAAATAGGAGAGGAGAGTTATTAAATGGAGAGTTAGAGGTATTGGGAAGATGGAGGGAATATTTTGAGGAATTGTTAAATGTTGATGAAGATAGGGAAGCTGTGATTTCGTGTATAGGGCAAGGAGGAATAACATCTTGTTGGAGTGAGGAAGAGCCAGATGTGAGTGTGGGGGAAGTTGGTGAGGCAGTAGGTAAAATGAAAGGGGGTAAGGCAGCCGGGATTGATGGGATAAAGATAGAAATGTTAAAAGCAGATGGGGATATAGTTTTGGAGTGGTTGGTGCAATTATTTAATAAATGTATGGAAGAGGGTAAGGTACCTAGGGATTGGCAGAGAGCATGCATAAATATTTCCTTTGTATAAAGGCAAAGGGGACAAAAGAGAGTGCAAAAATTATAGGGGGATAAGTCTGTTGAGCATACCTGGTAAAGTGTATGGTAGAGTTATTATTGAAAGAATTAAGAGTAAGACGGAGAATAGGATAGCAGATGAACAAGGAGGCTTTAGGAAAGGTAGGGGGTGTGTGGACCAGGTGTATACAGTGAAACATATAAGTGAACAGTATTTAGATAAAGCTAAAGAGGTCTTTGTGGCATTTATGGATTTGGAAAAGGCGTATGACAGGGTGGATAGGGGGGCAATGTGGCAGATGTTGCAGGTGTATGGTGTAGGAGGTAGGTTACTGAAAGCAGTGAAGAGTTTTTACGAGGATAGTGAGGCTCAAGTTAGAGTATGCAGGAAAGAGGGAAATTATTTCCCAGTAAAAGTAGGCCTTAGACAAGGATGTGTGATGTCACCGTGGTTGTTTAATATATTTATAGATGGGGTTGTAAGAGAAGTAAATGCGAGGGTCTTGGCAAAAGGCGTGGAGTTAAAAGATAAAGAATCACACATAAAGTGGGAGTTGTCACAGTTGCTCTTTGCTGATGACACTGTGCTCTTGGGAGATTCTGAAAAGAAGTTGCAGAGGTTGGTGGATGAATTTGGTGGGGTATGCAAAAGAAGAAAATTAAAAGTGAATACAGGAAAGAGTAAGGTTATGAGGATAACAAAAAGATTAGGTGATGAAAGATTGGATATCAGATTGGAAGGAGAGAGTATGGAGGAGGTGAATGTATTCAGATATTTGGGAGTGGACGTGTCAGCGGATGGGTCTATGAAAGATGAGGTGAATCATAGAATTGATGAGGGGAAAAGGGTGAGTGGTGCACTTAGGAGTCTGTGGAGACAAAGAACTTTGTCCTTGGAGGCAAAGAGGGAAATGTATGAGAGTATAATTTTACCAACACTCTTATATGGGTGTGAAGCATGGGTGATGAATGTTGCAGCGAGGAGAAGGCTGGAGGCAGTGGAGATGTCATGTCTGAGAGCAATGTGTGGTGTGAATATAATGCAGAGAATTCGTAGTTTGGAAGTTAGGAGGAGGTGCGGGATTACCAAAACTGTTGTCCAGAGGGCTGAGGAAGGGTTGTTGAGGTGGTTCGGACATGTAGAGAAAATGGAGCGAAACAGAATGACTTCAAGAGTGTATCAGTCTGTAGTGGAAGGAAGGCTGGGTAGGGGTCAGCCTAGGAAAGGTTGGAGGGAGGAGGTAAAGGAGGTTTTGTGCGCGAGGGGCTTGGACTTCCAGCAGGCATGCGTGAGCGTGTTTGATAGGAGTGAATGGAGACAAATGGTTTTTAATACTTGACGTGCTGTTGGAGTGTGAGCAAAGTAACATTTATGAAGGGGTTCAGGGAAACCGGAAGGCCGGACTTGAGTCCTGGAGATGGGAAGTACAGTGCCTGCACTCTGAAGGAGGGGCGTTAATGTTGCAGTTTAAAAACTGTAGTGTAAAGCACCCTTCTGGCAAGACAGTGATGGAGTGAATGATGGTGAAAGTTTTTCTTTTTCGGGCCACCCTGCCTTGGTGGGAATCGGCCAGTGTGATAATAAAAAAAAATAAAATATATATTATAAGAGAAATTTTTTAGAAAAGACTTAATTTTATATGAGTTATTGCTAATTGACCAGTTTTACCTCTTCGGCTCGACATAAATATATATATCTGCCTCTCTCCCTCCCTTTCTTCATGTGCTATTACCTATTTGCAACTTCAGTGTTGGATTTCCTTAATAGTATGTTTATCAAAGTTTTCAAGGGTTGTAGCACACTATGTTTCCTCTTATATACCATGCCATCTGTATAATATATACTGAGTATATACTTTCTAACGTCCTATTCACAACTTTTTTTCTTTTTAGTTTCCACGTTTGTTTTCCAAATAATAACAATAATAATATTTATCAGATTTCTTGTATCTTTCCACCACCTTAGATGTAATTATCACGTTTACTCCTTATCTATTACAAATAAATTATTTCGTTATAATTCTATAACTCAAGATTGCTTCGTCCTGCAGGCACCGGCCGTTGGCACAGTCACTGACTGGTGAGTTACATCAGTTACATCAGCTATACGAATGACGTCAGCATCGTCAGGTAAAGGATCTCGACATTAACAAGCTAAAATCCTGATAGTCCAACCTGTTATACCTGTTTCAGATACTGGGCGGTGACACAGGTTGATTACATCCATTCAAGGAATGGGAAACGCATCGGCATCATGATTCTTATGGTGTGGCTGACGGCGGTGGTAGTCTCCATAGCTCCGCTCTTCGGCTGGAAGGATCCAGATTTCTTGGTGCGGGTCAACGAGCAGAAAAAGTGTCTGGTGTCACAGGATCTCGCTTACCAGGTGTTCGCAACCATGGCCACCTTCTATGTCCCTCTCACAGCGATCCTCATCCTATACTGGAAGATCTTCCAAGCAGCCCGAAAGAGGATCCATAAGAGCAAATTTGGAGGCAAGAAGGAGACTAAGAAGAGAGGAAACAATAAGAAGCCAAAGGTAAGGGTATAGGTAGTGGATGGAGCGTGAGTCACTTCGAGGATAGGTATAGGGTATGGACTTGAGGATAGAAGATTAAAGGTAAGGTTTTGAGGGAAGGAGCTTAAAGGTAAGGACTTGAAGAATGGAAGTCAGGACATGACAGTGCGAGGCTCGTAGCTAAAATTGGTGGAGGTGCTGCTTCAGAAAATTTTAGCCATTGTTTTAATACTGTGTAAAACGAAACAAGCATATACAAAGAAAATCTGTACATAAGCTTGATAAAATCATAAACAAAAAAATATTTTTAACTTACCTAAACTGTTACAGTTAAGCTTGATCCATTCATTTAAAAACGAAATCTACTTTGCTCGAAAAGATTAATAATTCTCCCCTTGATCTCTTGATGACTGTTGAGGAAATTTTTCTCCATTGAAAGCACTGCAAATGCATTTAGTCTTTCATTATTCATAGTGATCCTTAGAAAAGTTTTTATTATTTTCAGCGTTGACAAGCAGCGTTCTGGCTCTGATGTTGTCATGGGAAATGTCAAGAGGATCTTTATCAGTTTCGCAATTTCACTAGGAACATCATCTAGATTATTTTCAACGAAAAATTTCAGCAGCTCAATTAATTTGCAGTATTCATGCATATCGGATCTACAATAATACTTTTAGTTTAGTTTCAATTCAACACTTTATCACATTTAAGAATATGGTACATGATTTTTAAGCACAACACACGTCGCTGAGCCAAAAAGAAACGCTACCTTACGCTTGCACAGCAGGGTCGGCACTGCATCAGCGACAGTGCTTTCTCTACCTAGCATGCAGCGTCTTATTTCGGACATGTTCGCATGCGCACAACAGCTAAACACCGAGTTGCTGGAACTGTGAAGCGCACAGTTCCATACAAGGATTTTTGTAATTTTTCCTTGTACTAGGGAATGGCTACTAACATTAAGCTTAAGGATTATATAATGTACAAGTATAAAAAAAGAATTAAAGAAAATAAGACTCATTATATTGAATGTTATCGATAATATTGAGTGAAAATAGGGGGTGCTGCAGTTCCGCAGTGCCTATACACGAGCCGCCACTGCCACTTGAGGGTAAAAGGATATATCAAATGACCTGAGGGCAGAAGGTTGAAGGGAAGGAGTTGAAGGTAGAGGGGTTGAGCGTGATGACTTGAAGGTAGAGGGTTGAGCGTGATGACCTGAAGGTAGAGGGTTGAGCGTGATGACTTGAAGGTAGAGGGTTGAGCGTGATGACCTGAAGGTAGAGGGTTGAGCGTGATGACTTGAAGGTAGAGGGTTGAGCGTGATGGCTTGAAGGTAGAGGGTTGAGCGTGATGACTTGAAGGTAGAGGGTTGAGCGTGATGACTTGAAGGTAGAAGGGTGAAAGTATGAACTTGACTGTAGAACGGTGTAAGCAAGGACTTGGTGGTAAATGGTTAAATGTTAGGCTATTTTGCATGTAAGTAAATCCCGATAAGGAATGCTCTTATGACTGATTGATTCATTCATTCATGGTGTATGATAATAAAAAACAAGCATTGGACTGATTAGTTTCCTTACTGCCTCACCAGATGTTTTGAGGGCCAATTCTTCCCTTCGTTCAGTTGATACGTTCAGTGTAGTAAAGACAGTCTTGTGATCATGAACTGATGTATCCTATCTACCAGATCCTTCAGGTAGATCACTCACGACTAGGTCGAGGTAAGATACCAGAGAGAAGGATGTCAAATTTTACACTTTTTATCAGATCGAGCACAGTGAGGGACTTACCACAGCTCCTTTGCACAAGTGGCTTGCGAAGTAGCTAGCAATTATGTGTTTACAGCTGTGTTGCAGCGGTAAAATTTCTGCTTTTTTCATTAAAAAAATTTGAGTCATCATGCAGGCATTGAATGAACATTGCACAATGAAGGATCTAGATTTTAGGACTTATGAATAAACTGAAAAACATTATTTCCAGGTGATGAAGAACGATAACATTACTGAGGTGGAAATGTATAGATGTATTAATGTTTATAGGAAAAACTTCATCGTTTTTTCTGTTTGTAAAGTTTATCCATGAGGTGTAGCCGGCAATAGTCGGAAAGCTTTCCTGGATTTTAGTATCTGGAAACATTCTCAGTACGGCAAAATTATTTCCAAACTGTAATTTGTTAATGACCTCCACAAGGTTGTTAGATTTTGTTAACTTAACTGCTATATAAACAAAAAATAAAAATTATGGAATTATGAAGTGCATAGTAATATTTTAATTGCATCCTCAGTAGTGAAAAATATTATAATATATATATATATATATATATATATATATATATATATATATATATATATATATATATATATATTTATATTAATATATATAATATATATATATATATATATATATATATATATACATACATATATATATATATATATATAATATATATATATATATACATATATACATATATAATATATATATATATATACATTATATATATATATATATATATATATATATATATATATATATATATATATATATATATATATATATATATATATATATTTAACAAATCGGCCGTCTCCCACCGAGGCAGGGTGACCCAAAGAGAAAGAAAATCCCCAAAAACAAAATGCTTTCATCATCATTCAACACTTTCACCTCACTCACACATAATCACTGTTTTTGCAGAGGTGCCCAGAATACAACAGTTTAGAAGTATATACGTATAAAAATACACAATATATCTCTCCAAACTGCCAATATCCCAAACCCCTCCTTTAGAGTGCAGGCATTGTACTTCCCATTTCCAGGACTGAAGTCGGTTATATAAAATAACCGGTTTCCTTGAATCCCTTCACTAAATATTACCCTGCTCACACTCCAACAGATCGTCAGGTCCCAAATACCATTTGTCTCCATTCACTCCTGTCTAACACGCTCATGCACGCTTGCTGGAAATCCAAACCCCTCGCCCACAACACCTCCTTTACCCCCTCCTTCCAACCTTATCGAGGACGACCCCTACCCCTCCATTCTTCCCTTATAGATTTATACGCTCTCCATGTCATTCTTCTTTGATCCCTTCTCTTTAAATGACCAAACCACCTCAACATACCTTCTTCAGCCCTCTGACTAATACTTTTATTAACTCCACACCTTTTCCTAATTTCCACACTCCGAATTTTCTGCATAATATTTACACCACACATTGCGCTTAGACAGGACATCTCCATTGCCTCCAACCGCCTCCTCGCTGCTGCATTTACAGCCCAAGCTTCACACCCATATAATAGTGTTGGTACTACTATACTTTCATACATTCCCTTCTTTGCCTCCATAGATAACATTTTTTGCCTCCACATATACCTCAATGCACCACTCACCGTTTTTCCCTCATCAATTCTATGATTAACCTCATCCTTCATAAATTCATCCGCTGACACGTCAATTCCCAAATATCTGAAAACATTCACTTCTTCCATACTCCTCCTCCCCAATTTGATATCCAATTTTTCTTTATCTAAATCATTTGATACTCTCATCACCTTACTCTTTTCTATGTTCACTTTCAACTTTCTACCGTTACACACATTCCCAAATTCGTCCACTAACCTTTACAATTTTTCTTTAGAATCTCCCATAAGCACAGTATCATCAGCAAAAAGTAACTGTGTCACTTTCCATTTTGTATTTAATTCCCCATAATTTAATCCCACCCCTCTCCTGAACACCCTAGCATTTACTTCTTTTATAACCCCATCTATAAATATATTAAACAACCATGGTGACATTACACATCCCTGTCTAAGACCTACTTTTACCGGGAAGTAGTCTCCCTCTCTTCTACACACCCTAACCTGAGCCTCACTATCCTCATAAAAACTCTTTACAGCAATTAGTAACTCGCCACCTATTCCATATACTTGCAACATCTGCCTCATTGCTCCCCTATCCGCTCTATCATATGCCTTTTCTAAATCCATAAATGCAATAAAAACTTCCCGACCTTTATCTAAATACTGTTCACATATATGCTTCAATGTAAACACTTGATCTACACATCCCCTACCCACTCTAAAACCTCCTTGTTCATCCGCAATTCTACATTCTGTCTTACCTCTAATTCTTTCAATAATAACCTTACCATACACTTTTCCTGGTATACTCAGTAAACTTATTCCTCTATAATTTTTACAATCTCTTTTGTCCCCCTTCCCTTTATATAAAGGGACTATACACGCTCTCTGCCAATCCCTAGGTACCTTCCCCTCTTTCATACATTTATTAAACAAAAATACCAACCACTCCAACACTATGTCCCCTCCCCCTGCTTTTAACATTTCTGTCATGATCCCGTCAGTTCCAGCTGCTGTACCACCTTTCATTCTACTTAATGCCTCACACACCTCCCTCACACTCACATCCTGCTCTTCTTCACTCCTAAAAGATGATATACCTCCCTTGCCAGTGAATGAAATTACCGCCTCCCTTTCTTCCTCAACATTTAAAAGTTCCTCAAAATATTCTCGCCATCTACCCAAAACCTTCATCTCCCCATCTACTAACTCCCCTACTCTGTTTTTAACTGATAAATCCATTTGTTCCCTAGGCTTTCTTAACTTGTTTAACTCACTCCAAATTTTTTTCTTATTGTCATTAAAATTTCTTGACAGTGCCTCTCCCACTCTATCATCTGCTCTCCTTTTGCACTCTCTCACCACTCTCTTCACCTTTCTTTTTCTCTCCATATACTATACTCTTCTTATAACACTTCTGCTTTGTAAATACCTCTCATAAGCTACCTTTTCCTCTTTTATCACACCCTTTACTTCATCATTCCACCAATCACTCCTCTTTCCTCCTGCACCCACCCTCCTATAACCACAAACTTCTGCCCCACATTCTAATACTGCATTTTTAAAACTATTCCAACCCTCTTCAACCCCCCCACTACTCATACCTGCACCAGCCCACCTTTCTGCCAATAGTTGCTTATATTTCACCCAACTTCCTCCTCCCTTAGTTTATACACTTTCACCTCCCTCTTCCTTGTTGTTGTCATTTTCCTCTTATCCCATCTATCTCTTACTCTAACTGTAGCTACAACTAAATAATGATCCGATATATCAGTTGCCCCTCTATAAACGTGTACATCCTGGAGCCTACCCATCAACCTTTTATCCACCAATACATAATCTAACAAACTACTTTCATTACGTGCTATATCATACCTTATATATTTATTTATCCTCTTTTTCATAAAATATGTATTACTTATTACCAAACCTCTTTCTACATAAAGCTCAATTAAAGGCTCCCCATTTTCATTTACCCCTGGCACTCCAAATTTACCTACTACTCCCTCCACAACATTTTTTCCCACTTTAGCATTAAAATCCCCATCCACAAATACTCTCACACTTGGTTCAAAACTCACCACGCAATTACTCAACATTTCCCAAAATCTCTCTCTCTCCTCTATACTTCTCTCTTCCCCAGATGCATAAACGCTTACTATAACCCACTTTCCACATCCAACCTTTATTTTACTCCACATAATCCTTGAATTAATACATTTATAGTCCCTCTTTTCCTGCCATAGTTTATCCTTCAACATTATTGCTACTCCTTCTTTAGCTCTAACTCTATTAGAAACCCCTGACCTAATCCCATTTATTACTCTCCATTGAAACTCACCCACCCCCTTCAGCTTTGTTTCACTTAAAGCCAGGATATCCAGCTTCTTCTCATTCATAACATCCACAATCATCTCTTTCTTATCATTCGCACAACATCCACGCACATTCAAACTTCCCACTTTGACAATTTCCTTCTTATTATTCTTTTTAGTAATTTTTAAAGGAAAAGGGGTTACTAGCCCATTGTTCCCGGCATTTTAGTTGACTTTTACAACACGCATGGCTTACGGAGGAAAGATTCTTATTCCACTTCCTCATGGATATATAAGGAAAAGTAATTAGAACAAGAACTAAGATGAAATCAAAGAAAACTCAGATGAATGTGCATAAATAAACGTGTACATGTATGCTTAGTGTGACCTAAGTGTAAGTAGAAGTAGCAAGACGTACCTGTAACCTTGCATATTTATGAGACAAAGGACACCAGCAATCCTACCAACATGTAAAACAATTACAGGCTTTCGTTTTACACTCACTTGGCAGGACGGTAGTACCTCCCTGGGTGGTTGCTGTCTACCAACCTACTATATATATATATATATATATATATATATATATATATATATATATATATATATATATATATATATATATATATATATCTACTATATATATCTACTATATATATATATAATAATAATAATAATAATATAATAGTTCATGTCTTTTCCTCGCTGTCATTGTCCTCCACCCCTGTTAGTGGGATGGATTGTAAAGGACCTACCTAGTACGGGCCAACAGGCCTGCTGCAGTGTTCCTCCTTTCTTATGTTCTTATGTACTTACACTTTCCATCTCTCTCTCTCTCTCTCTCTCTCTCTCTCTCTCTCTCTCTCTCTCTCTCTCTCTCTCTCTCTCTCTCTCTCTCTCTCTCTCTCTCTCTCTCTCTTTCACTGATTCTCAGCACAACCAAATTAAGGACGATTATTGCACCAGTTTGGACTTTCACTATTGCTCTTGCCTATTCTCTTCCGTTTAGCGCTATATGACCCATTAGGAATTAGTTGTTTATTGTGAATATGATAATATTCAGCACACACATCCCAACTAACATTATGTAAGTAACCGTTTCTCCCTCTTGCCACAGGGGCACAGAGGAGCGGGAGGCACGAAACCCAACGGTGTGACGGAACACCAGACCACCGCCTTCACAACCATCAGCAGTGGCTCTCCGGACAAGTCCTCGAACAACGGAGCGGTGTCCGTCTCATCGCACGTGTCCGAGGTTTCCAAACTAGAGATGCTGCCAAAGGAGCATCACAAGAAGACTAAGAAGGAGACTCTAGAAGCCAAGAGAGAGAAGAAGGCTGCCAAAACGCTAGCTATCATCACGGGCGCCTTCGTCATCTGCTGGCTGCCCTTCTTTGTCACGGCGCTGCTGATGCCCATCTGCCCAGCATGCTACTTTTCCGACGTCATGTTCTCAATCTTTTTATGGCTCGGGTACTTCAACTCTACCCTCAACCCTATCATCTACACTATCTTCAGCCCTGAGTTTCGCGAGGCCTTCAAGAGGATTCTCTTTGGCAGGAAGAGCAACCAACGCTACAGACCTGGGAAGGTTCGCTAAGACTATTTACACGTGGTCTTCGATTCTTTCTAAAGTCTAAAGTGTCCTAATAGAGAACTATAGGTGCATTTATAACTTTATTCATCAAATAATTTAAGTGAAACGGAAAGTGAAGGTTACATATATAAAACTTTGACTATTTGCCTTCATGAAGAGGAGCACAACCTAGAATGCTTTCCTAAAATAAAACTGCGAATTTTCGAGACTGAATAGTTGAAACTTCAATTCACTAATTGTTCCAAAGTGAATTAACAAACTAAGAACAGCTTACTTTGGATAAAGTTTAGTTGAATTACATTCTTGAGTGTACCTGGCGGATGGAAAATTAACTTTAATGTGAGTGAATCTCAGGAATAGGTTCTAGGATAAGGATGCAGTCATAAAGTAATACATAAAAGGAAAATGGAATGAAGGTCTGAAAAGTGAAAATAAAAGACGAAAAAAATTGTGTTGTGTTAAAACTTGAAGCCAGAAACGTGATTTGACGAGGAACAACAGGTCACAAAAATATTGCCAACGTTGAAATGTCAGTAAAATATGAAAAAAAATGTTTCAGTGGAAAACAATTTAAAAAAACAGAAAAAGTTGAAGCTTCGTTTGGGTTATATAAATAAAACACCATTTAAAATTTCTGGTCTCAGAGTATAACTAAATTATACGGTAATGTAAACAGTTACATATTAAGGTGAGTTTCAGTTAAATAAATATTTAAAAATGTGTGTTTTGGCTATGCCAAAAAAAAAACAACTAAGAAGATAAAAATAATTTACTTAAAAATGTTAAATAACTGATTTCAAAGACAAGTGGTTTGTTTATCCGGATTTCTTTAGTGTGTAGAGACCTATGATAATGACTTCTAAAAGAGGAGAAACACAAACGAATAATAAACGTAACAAAAGGAACAGATATGTTCAAATATCATCAAGAATCTGGCTGTCATAGTTGAAAACTTCCTTTGGTTCAAATGAAATATTATGTGCAAATTTTGTAGCAGTAAAATTTTCTTGAAGAAGCTGATATTTTGTGAATAACACGGAAAAGCAATTTCTTGACACTTAGCTACAATCATTCAACAATAATCGTTCAGTAACAACCCATTGGCCCTCGGTGGCAACACTGTCCTCGCCCATTTGGAAACTTTGGAGATTACTTTTCTACGTAATTAATAAACAGTCATCAATGAGAAAACAGTACATTACTATATCTGACCTTCTCATGACGGTTGGCTCAAGAAATGACTAACCATAAGAACTAATGATGAGCATGAAACTCACCCTAACCGGCTGAGAGAGTGAGAGAGAAAGAGTGAAGCAGCTTACACTTCACAGAGTGCCCATGAACTTCTTTGAGATATATCGCAGCTGTGGCGATAACCAAAGTTGAAGAAAGTCTAACACCCATACACGTCCACTCAACAGAATTCTACATCTTTTAGCCAAACGTGCAGAAAACTAAATATCAATAACATATAAAAGTACGATGCAAAATCTTGGGGAAAAAAAAACGTAAATATCAACCTCACAGGAAAGAATAAAGAAAAATATTTCATAGACACAAACTCTTGCAAAACTGTAAATATCAATGACACAGGAAAATATAAAGAGTAAAAAAATGCGATGAAAAATATTTAAGAATTGCAAAGTCAACTAGAAGAATTTGTGATTTGGTTTAATAGGGGATGTGATTTGTGGAGTGAAATGTGTATTTGAATCCCCTGGGATCAGTAGCCATGCCAAGAGAGAGACAGAGACAGACAGAGAGAGAAAGACTGTAACTTTCACAACAGACTCAACCTCCCTTACGTGTACATTGCAGAGTATACATATGCATATGTGCGTGTATACATATTTTAATTTTTAATTTTTCACATATATGTAAATATGCTTGTCGATGTCATTTTGTTTCAGTAAGTACCATGCATATATTTTTATATTAATCAACGATAAAAAAAATAGTGTTCGGGGTTTACCTGTAGTTAATATGAAGCTAAACTAAATATGTCCATGATGTAATATATATATATATATATATATATATATATATATATATATATATATATATATATATATATATATATAATATATATATATACATAATAGTCGCTATATGAGGTGTATCTTATACTAGTCTATAGACATATTTGTTACACCCAGTAAGTTCTCTTGACCTTACTGCTGTGGTCAGCTATATGGTGAAACAAACACTAAAAGGAAAAGTAATTTGATTTGTCTATTGAGTAACAAAATCATTATTCTTGAACTACACAGCAGACAGACGAAGCCTAAAATAAGACTTGACAAGTGCCAGTCGGTAATTCTTCACTCTGTGAATCCGGATAAAAAAAAATATTCGTGTTTCGAACTGGGATTCGAAAGTCCATGTTTAAACGATCGAGTCCTAATGTGACTGGTGTCTCAGGACTGTCTGGAGTGTATCTGACAGATCCAGATGCGGCCAAATTGCAAAGGCAGATAAGCGGTGGAAAAAATAGAAACAGTTTGCAGAAAGGATGTATGATGAAACGTTTCGGCTGTGGTAAAGACGTGTTTTACGAACGAAACATCTCATTCAGTTTACTCTCAGCAAACTGAGTATTTTTACCCTCTACACCAGGAGAAGTTTCTATAATTTCACGTTTATCTTGTTTTTCATGAGACCAGAAAATATATACACACGGAGAGGTATATAAATCTCACTGTATTGTATATACACCAAGAAGTTATATAACTCTCACAGTGCCTATACACCCATAAGTATGTATGTATCTCTCAAAAATACGTACACTGAGAGATGTGCATCTCTCAGTGTACACAGCGAGTGGTTTATTAAAATGAGATTTTGAAAGTTAATCTGCAGGTGAATTGCAATTAGAATAACCCGTTTTTTTCGTGAAATTACCGGCTATATTATTTTCCTTTAATTTTAGTTGATTTTTTAATGTAAATTCGTATATATTTTTAATTATTGGTGGGAATAATCGGGATTCGAATCCGTGGTCAAGAATTATCAATCCGTCGCCATTGTCCATTATATTAATTTTCACCACATTATTATAATTGCTAATATTTGGAGTATTTATTATTATTATTATTATTATTATTATTATTATTATTATTATTATTATTATTATTATTATTATTATATATTATTATTATTCAGTTTTTAATAGTATTATTGCTATTAATAATAATAATAATAATAATAAATAATAATAATAATATTTTTATTATTATTATTATTATTATTATTATTATTATTATTATTATCATTTGTAGTACTAGTAATATTACTCAACATTTAGAGTCTTCATTAAAATTAAAATAATTTACAGTCTTATTACATATTTTCAAATTTTTTATTCATGAAGGAATAACTTCACCAAGTCTTTGCTTATATACGGATGTACTTTCCTTCTTGACTATAAAAAAAATGTTTCAAGAAGACTTGTATATCGACGACTCTTGAATCGGATGAATCTTCAAACAAACATTTCTAGACATATGAACGGCAGTGAGATTTATTGGAGAGGTATTGGAAATACTTCATCATTGCCAATTGCAGTTCCCACTAAATTATTATAGAACCATTTGTAGGTTCAAGACAGATTTGGTGGATCGTTTGCTATGCTGTTGTAGAACCACTGTAGTTCAGGACAGGCTTCGGGGAAGGTCAAGAGTATCTGAGGAATAAGGACAGACGGTGAGACACATTTTGCTACCAACCATGGAATTAATACGGGCCATCGGGATATTATTGTTCTACAAAACAAAAATTGAGATAAGCTAATCGCGAAAAGATAAACATTGGGAGTTGGAAAGCTTATCTAAGCGGACACGGAATACAGTTAAAGATACCTACTGAAACATTCTCGTCTATATATATATATATATAAAATATATATATATATATATATATATATATATATATATATATATATATATATATATATATATGATGTTCAGGTTGATTAGAATTTCGGGGCCAGGAATGGAATCATTGATTAGGAGAGGCTGTTTGATTGGGCTGCGATAGGTACAGCTTAACTTTATGTTCAGTACAAACAATGAACTCAAACAAAGAATAGCAAATACTAATTACGTTTAGAAAATATTATTGAGACAATATATTTGTGTTTCATTTATCACTACAGTGAAGCTCTTCTCTGACTATTTTAGTCCACACACACAGGTATGAAAAGGGGAAAATATTGCTTTTTTTTTTTTAGTCAAAATATATTTTTGATTTATGAAAGGGAAGATAAAGTAATGATAATTCAGCTTTTAGTTCTAATACTTTCTTTCTTTCTTGTAACCCCTCCCCCCCCCTCAAAAAAAATCAGATATTTACTACGCGAAAAAGTACAGGGTATTTTTTTACTTACTAACCGTTTAGTTTAATCTCTAAAACACTAAATTTATTCATTCAGTTTGCATGGGATACTTCGTCTTTTTTTCCTCCTATTGTTTCATACCCGCTGTAAACACTAGCCACACAGGTTTTGAGAATGCTATTGAACCTCTCCGTGAATGCCACTCTCTATATGCTTCCTATGGAAGCCAAAGTACGAAAATATGTTTACTCACCCTTACTGTCATTCTCACCTCCACGGAGACTAAGTCTGTCCTTCTGACAGTCGTTCAGATAGGCATTCAGTACCTTCTTTTCACCTAAAAGTCAAAAGAAGCTCATACATTCACCCCAAAAAAAAGAATTCAAATTACTTTTTTTATGGCGTGGAAGCCAAACTCATTTAAACTTTTTTTTTATATAGCAAGGTCACTCAGACGCCTCGCCTAATCGCTGTAGCCCATGATTCCATTCCAATCATCCCTGAGGTACTAGTCTATCCCTATTCTAATTCTAAATATTTGAAGATATATACTGTTGTCTGAGTTCCATTCGCGTAATGTTTACAATTTTTTTTCATTCATTCCTATACGAGGACCTCTGCCAAGTGCTAAATCAATAGTGATACATCTCAAAAAAAATAAGTAAAAATAATGATTATAATAAAATAAAATATATATATATATATATATATATATATATATATATATATATATAATATATATATATATATATATATATTATATATATATATATATATAAAGTATTTTCTTATTTTTTTTTGCCTAACGAGCTTATTTAATAATTTAATACAATAAATCTTAGAATTATTTAACATCAGTATAACATTTTAACTTTGGAATTTTCAGCCGAATATTACCACAGTTTGCAAATAAGCTAAGTTGGTAAGATCAGGCTCTAAAGCACAACATATATATATGTAGGAGCAATCACATGATAATGTGGCAAATTACTAAATGCTTGAACTTCATATAATATTCCACATATCTTCAGAAGCAAAGTAAAAAGGCCTAACTATACCAACCAAGGTATCATTTATCCACTCAAAAGTTATCCAACCAAAATGTGAACATAATTTATTACTTTGTTTCCTATTCTGACGAGAAACTAACTCAAACAAATGAACACTACCCCTGCCGTACATAACAAGGTGCTTCGTCGTTGTAGTTGTATGTTGTAATAAACTCTTTATATTATATATATATATATATATATATATTATATATATATATATATATATATATATATATAATGTGTGTGTGTGTATAGAAAAACTTGAATTAAATGACTGCACCCTCGTCACAGATATTGTGTCATGTGCGTATTACAGCCTTACACACACTGATGTCACGTGAGCGTCACAGCCCTACAGACACGTGTGTGTGCATATCACGCAGCCCTACACACGCCGGAGTCCGTGAGTGTACAAGTTCATAAGCCCAGCCTCCAGCGTGATTAGGGTGGTGTACAGAGCTTCATTCATTCATTGTTGCATTGTATCGCTCACACCTAGAGAGAGTAATAAGCCATCGCCATTTTTCCAAGTTTCAGTGAATTCCACACTCAATTCATTCATAAACAGTGTTTTTCATGCTTTCATTCTCTGTACTTGGATTCATATCAATGTTGCCTGGGGTTGTGAGTTATATAAAGTTTGATAGATGTACATATATATACATACATATATATATATATATATATAATATATATATATATATATATATATAATATATATATATATATAGTTGACTCAGCATTTGTGTATGTACATATTGCTTTGACTGAGAGAGTCTTGAGAGTTGTGCCCGATACCATCTCCAGCTGTTCCTCGTAAAATGATGAGCCTCCATTTTTCGAGCAACAGCGACGCCATATCTGTTTACACGGGGACGTCTCAACATGGCGTCAAGTAAGAAATGACTTCATTTGGTTATATCCCCGTGTAACTTACTCCAGAGAGTGTCATGGCGAGTGTGTGTGTGTGTGTGTGTGCGTGTCTGTAACGCCCCAGTTGTTGATCTCTGACCTGGAGTGGCGGGTCCCAGTGGCATTGTCCACTATTAGGTTGTACATGTTAAATAAAAACCTCTGTAACAAATGTCTTTGAATTCTTGTTTTAATATATACCTTCGGATAAAATACAGACTCATATATTTTCATATGAAATGCGTGCTGCATTTGTAATTCTCATAAGAGTTGCAAAAGAAATGAAGCATAGCAATGGAAATTCATTAAAGAAGAGCCAATGTTGGCCAATGGAATCTTATCATCATTTGTAATCTTTTAAAGTGCAGGTGCAGTACTTTACATCTTTAAAATACGTGTTCTAATTCTCTTCATTTAAATTACCATGCACACACTCCAACAGCACGACAAGCCCCAAAAGCTCCTTTCTTTAACTCCAAACTATAGCACCCACATACCCGCTGGATGCTCAAGCCCAAACCTCTGAAAAAGTTCCTCACATCCTCCAATGAACTCGTCCTACACTTTTTCCCATCCACTCCAGATTTACACACCATCTTAAGTCATTTATATGGCTGCTTTCTTTCCACAATATCCATAAAACCAAATTGTCTCCACAGCTCGTATCTATTCCTCTCATAGCGGGATGACTTTGAATT